AGCTTGGCCAGCCGCGTGCTAATACCCTCCACCTCAGCAGGGCTCAGCCCCACAGCTTCGTTGTTTTCCAGCAGCACGAAGTTCAGCAGCAAAGCAGCTTCGAGTGCGCCGTCGCTGCTGCAGCAGCAGCAGCTGCAGCAGCAAATCTGCACCAGCATTTCCGCAGTGCCCAGCGGGTCGGGGGGCCCCCCGGGGGGCCCCTGCAGCAGCAGCTGCGGGTCCCCCTTCAGCAGGTCTGCGCACAGCAGCAGCAAACTGGCCAACGTGTTGCTGCTCTCCTCATCGAGCTGCTGCTGCTCCTGCAGCACTTGCTGCCGCAGCTGCTGCATGAAGGCCTCCGCCCGCGCTTCCGGCGGCACTGCAGCAGCAACAGCAGGAGCAGCAGCAGTTGCTGGCAGCACGGGAGTCCGCAGCAGCTCTGCTGCTCTTTCTATGGACACCAGCAGCAGCACCTGCTGCTGCTGCTGCTGCCGCAGCAGCACCAGCAGCGGCGGCAGCGCGCCCAGCATGTCCTCCTCAGTGGGGCACGCTGCTGCAGTGCCGCCTGCTGCTGCTGCCCGTGCTGCTGCCTCTGCTGCTGCCTGAGCTGCTGCTGCGTTGAGAGCTGCTGCTGCTGCTGCATCAATGTCACTTATTGCCAGCAGCAAAGACAAACAGTGCGTGGAAGCCCCCAGCAGCGGCGCATGCAGCGCCTGCCGCAAAATGTACATACACCTGGCGAAGAGGTCTGCTGCTGCTGCTGCAGTGGGTGCTGCGCGCAGCAGCAGCAGCCGCTTCATGCGCGCGTCTGCCAGCTGCTGCTGCGGCGTTTGCTGCTGCTGCCGCAGACTCAGTGCAGCAGCAAGGCCCCTGAAGGCCTCCTTGAGGGCCCCTGCGTCTGTGCAGCTGAGCACAGCAGCAGCAAACACGTCAGCAGCAAGCGGCAGCGCCACGGCGAGTGCAGCAGCAGCAGCAGATGGCGCTGCTGCTGCTGCTGCTTCCCCGTGCTCAAGGTCCGGCTGCGCAGATATCAGGTTTGCTGCTGCCATCAGCAGCAGCTCAGCAATAGCAGCAGCAGGAACGCCCGCTGCGCGGCTGACCAGCAGCAAACGCCGGCTGACTGCAACAGCAGCAGAAGAGTGGCTGCATTGATGCTGCTCCTCTGCTGCAGAGATTGTCTCCAGGCCCGGCAGCACCCACTGCTGCAGCAGCAGCAGCAGCAGCTCAGCAGCGTTGTGCTGCAGCAGCACTGCTGCTTGTGTGGGGTCCCCTGCAGACTCCGCCAGCAGCTGCAGCTCCTCCAGCGACAGGGGGGCCAGCCCCTTCATTTGGTCGATTTCAGTTTGTTCTGCTGCTGCTGCTGCGTCTGCTGCAGCAGCAAAATTTGCCTCTGCTTCTGCTGCTGCCTCTGCTGCGGCCGCCGCCCTCGCGCGCGCTGCTGCTGCTCCCGCCTTTCCCGCCAGCCTCGCAGCTTCCTCTGCTGCTGCTGCTGCTTCCTCGTCTGCGCGCTCCGCTGCTGCCTCCGCAGCTGCTGCTGCGCGGTCCGCTGCAGCAGCAGCAGCAGAAGCTGCTGCTGCAGCAGAAGAAGGCCGCCGGTTTGGCCCCAGCGCTCGCACTACAGCAGACAGCACTGTGAGCAAGTGCTGCCGACACTCCAGACAGTCTCCACCTTCGCGCTGCAGCAGCCTCAGCCCAGAAGACGCTGCTGCAGGCTCTGCTGCTGCTGCTGCTGCTGCTGCTGGGGCGTTCGCCGGCTGCGTGTCTGGGGCAGCCGCGGGATCCGCCGCAGGGGCGATCCCTGCAGCGGCTGTGTCAGCCGCTGCATCAGCAGAAACAGTCTTGCTGCTCCCACCCGCCATTGCAGTGCACTTGCTGCTGCTGCTGCTGTGTGTGTCGGCGCTGCCGCTGCCGCAGTTGCTGCCGCTGCTGCGGCTGCTGCAGCCGCTGCGATAGCTGCGAATTTGAACTCAAGAGCAAATTTGCTTCTGCTGCTAATGTTGCCGAGCTGACGCCCCCTCTAGCCAACAGGGTTTGACCGTACTTTGCAGCAGCAGCAGCAGCAGCTGCAGCAGCGCCGGCAGCCACGCCAGAGCAGCTGGCGCGGTTGCTGCAGAGCTTCCCCCCGGGAGCAAATTCAAAGTAAAACGCTGTCAATTTTGTGTAGGCAAACATGCAAGGACTAATTTCTCAAGGACAAAAATGGGAGTAGCAGCGCCAGCAGCAGCACAGCAGCAGCAGCAGCAGCAGCACAGCAGCAGCCGCGATCCGCTGCCCGCCGGGGCCCTGCTGTTAACTCAGCCCAAGTCGCAGCCCCACTGAAACAGCAGCCAGAAATGCACACATAGTTTGCTGCAGCAGCAAAGAAGAGGGTTTGGGGTGCTGCAGCGTGGAGACAAGGGGGAGACAGAAATACCAGCAGCCTGCTGCTGCTGCTGCGACCATTGCTGCCGCAGCTGTAGCGCCGCACAGCAGCAGCCGCTGCAGGAGCAGCAGCCGCGACAGCCTCCCCCTAAGGAGCAGGAGTCGCACGGCGGAGCTGGCAGCAGGGGGAGCAGCGGCAGCAGGCGCTGCTGCTGCCTCCCTTGCTGCAGCCGCCACCTGTCGTCAGCTACAGGGCAAGAGCAGCAGCAGCAGCAGCAGAAGCAGCGGAAGTGAAGCAGCGGGACTTGGGGAACGAGCCACCTGCAGCTGCCACAGCAGCGGTGCCCGCTGTAGTAGGCGAAAGCCACAGCAGCAGCAGCAGCAGCAGCAGCAGCAACAGCTAGGCCTAAGGAACCATGTTGGCTCCGCTGGCGCCCGCGGGGGGCGGCGATGACGGCAAGTGCCCATAACCCTAAGCCCCTCAGCTGCAGCAGCAGCAGCAGCAGCAGCAGCAGCAGCACTACTCAGTGGCTGGCGCTGCTCCAGTTGACTTGCACTTGTCTTGCGCTGCTGCTGCTGCTGCTGTTGCTGCTGCTGCTGCTGCTGCAGCAGAAGCCAGGCGCTTCTCCGCGGAAGTGCTGTCGGTGCTGAGCGCTTTTGACCGGGCGAAGGAATGGGCGGATTTGGGCAGCTGCCTGCAGCGGCTTCTCAAGGTAAACCCTAAACCCTAAACCCTAAACCCTGAGCTGTGAGTGTGGATTGAATTGCTCTTTAGCCGCGCTGCACGCTGGGTTTTCTCGCGGGCGCAGCAGCAGCTGCCTCCTGCTGCTGCTGCGCTGCGCGGCAGTCTTTGCTGCTGCTGCGGCCGCCAACTTGCGGCAGCAGTGCAGCAGCAACAACTCAGCAGCAGGCCTCTTGCTGCTGCTGCTGCTGCGCCTCTGCAGGTCCTCAAGCGGCCTCTTTCCCCTTCCCTCCGCTTTATACCCCACAGACTCACCGTCTCAAAGCGCCTTGCCCAGGTACGCCCGCTGCTGCTGCTGCTGCTGCTGCTGCTCCTGTTGCTGCTGCTATTTCTGCTGCTGTTGCCGATCCCGCTGCTGTTTCTGCTGTCCGGCCTTTGCCGCTGCTACAAGCTTC